AAAACTGTCAGAGGCCTAAAAGTGTTTGAATATATATATATGCAGATCTGTTTATCAGCAGGACTTTTACTCTAAAGATATATTTGTTTTTCAAAATGAGACAAATTAAATAGATCATTCCAACATTGCTAAAAAATTTAAATCTTAAGTCATTTTTTTTTTTTAAAGTGCACTTTTTCTTTCTTCTTGAACTGAGGAGGTAAGTGAAACACATTTCACTGGATTACATTTAAAATAAGAAAAAAACTATTGTTTTGTCTTATTTCAAGTGCATATTATCTAAATATCTTATTTTAAGGGTAAAAATACTCATTCTATTGGCAAATTATCTTATTTACCTACTTAAATTAAGGGCAAATAGTCTTAATTTAAGAAATCTTTACTCATTAGTAGATCGTTTTTGCAGTCAAGCCTTAAAGTTCAACGGATTTGCAACATTTGTGAAGTATTATATTTATGTATCAGATTTCTAAGGAAGGCGATTAATGTGCTGGAAATCTAGGGATAAAAACACATTTAAGCCTTATTTCCCCGATTATCAATTTGCATTTCACAGCTAAACTTGTTGTATAAAATCTAAAGTAAATGCAAATAAAGTTAGTGGCTTTTACGAATATGTTAAACTTTCGCAAGTCGTTTGAACCAGGAAATAAGATCTCTTATTACAAGAAAAGAAAAAAGCAAACTTGACATGACTTCAGTCCGAAGTTTTGGGCTACTAGGTGTCTTTTATACTTAATAAAAGCTGGACTATTAACCAGAGGTGCGCAGATCAGGTGTATCTGAAGTGAACATGATCAATAACTCATTACTGATCGGAGATCCGAATAACCTCCCCCTCCGCAGGAACATTGCTTCAAAGTGCCAAGATAAGTGTCAATAAGACAGGATCAGCGTAATAACCAAGAACATAAGCAATAATAGATTCACTTACCAACGATCTTCAGTCCGGAAGAGAAACACGAACCCGAACTGAACCTAGCTCTTGACAAACAAACAAATAAATAAGAATTTTCTATACGGAAAAAGCCGTTTTAGTATGGGGGGGTCTGCGCTGACAACATTTAAGTCAACTAAACTTCCGACACCATAAATTCAAGCCGCCTGGGTAAGTGATTAACATTTTATGACGTCACTAAGATACCAGGATTTGATTGGCTGTCATACCTTCTGGTTTTGTAACCATTGGAAACCAAACAGTCCAACTTACAAGCTGCTGCTGCGATTTTGGAGTGAAGTATATGACTAAAACCAAACCAAACTTCAGATACCGGTAGGATGGATAGGCTATATTATTTTATAAATCTGGTTTTAGTCGCTGTAATCCATTAGACGTTGGTTTTTACTAAAAACCAACGTCTAATGGATTATACTATGACGGACCGATGCGATTTAGCCTAAAAACTTTTTAGGCTAAATCGCATCGGTCCGTCATAGTATTGAGTCCAGAAATAGCTGTTGAAAATTGGGCTGTGTTTGGTCTGTCTGATTTTGTCCCACTTTAGTCAATAATAGACGAATATTTTTAGTTTTTCAACTTCTTTTCCAGCTATTTCCTCAATTTTTCAGGCCATGGCGTAAATTAAATGACGAAATCCCAAATAGATGCAATTAACTGGTTATAACTGCTGCATTAACCCTTTATAGGCCACTCAGTGAAATACTTAAAAAATTAAATTTCCAGCCAATAGTGTTATTGGAATCAAAGACCAGACCTTATTACCTTTGTTACATAAAAAAATATGGATATTTTGATGGCAAAAATTATTGTTAATGTAATAACAGGAAACACCAACTGTCCCAATATATTAAGAAAAATAAAAAAAAAGTTGTTCTTTAAGAAATTGAAAAACACTCTGAGAGTGAAAGAAAAACTTTTTTTTTTTTTTTTTTTGGTCCAACATAACCTTAAAGGCGTTAATGCTGATACTGGCACTTACATTTTTTTAGTTTGTAGGCCTATACCTAAATGTAATTGCTAACTTGGCTTATTAGCTTTTTTAAATTTACTTTTTAACTTTTCAATTAGCTTTTTACATTTTATTCTTGAATTGTTAACTTCTACTTTTCAAATTAATTTCCAGTAGCTAATATATCATTCAAGGGCTCATCTAATTGGTCAAATGCCAAATTAAGATGTACAGCCATGTAGCAGGATCTTTGCTGAATGGCTGGATATAGATCTAGTGCTTCTAGACCTCACTGAGGGACACAGGGGGACTCCATTAGTAAGGCAAGTGATCAAAAATTGTAACTTGCCCTATAAAGGGTTGAACTCGTTCAAACATTTATTTAGTGTTATTCTATATATTAAAAAAAATTAAGCTAAACTGTCCGACCGAGCCAAGTGATCTTATTTACAAGTGACCATAATGATAAAATAAAGTTAATAATAGAATAATTGAAAAAATGATTTTGCTTGTTTTAATTACAGGTAAGGTAATTCAACAAAACTGTAAACAGAGGTATACAGGCAATATTTAGCCCTCGACGGCAAAAAATAAAATAAAATATATATATATACAAATTATCTGTAATGCTTTGGTTGCAATAATCAAAAATAAAAATTGTTGCCCTATTGTGTCAAGCTAATGAAGTTTTACATTTTATTGCACTACATTTTTCTTTATCTAATTATTACATCAATTTCATTGTTCCAAACTTAATATACATTGCAATTCTCTTTCTTTTCCACATGATGTCAGCACATGAATTCACAAAGTTGTTAAGGAAACTATGTCTCTGTAAAGGTTCTACTCACAAATGGCGCTTTATTAAAGGTTGCTGGAACTTTTTTCTTTCTTGAATAGCTTCTGATTCATCTTCAGTAGATCTTAATAACAGGGATGCCTCCTAAGGGACGGAAGAAATCAACAAATACTGCAGGCAGCAAAAGGAAAGGTAGTGCCTAAAACATTCACCTAAACAACAAAGAGTATGTGTGTGTGTATATATATATATATATATATATATATATATATATATATGAATAAAAAAAACTTAAAAACATGTGTCTGCATGCATTCTAATTAAATTAAATTCTAATTAAATTCATTTTTTCTTTTTTTAGTAAGGAGCAGTCTATCTTCTACACGACATGAAAATACAAGTAAGGGAACTTTTATTTGATTGTAGTTTTTGCTGCAAAACAAACTTCAAACTTGAGTTCACATTTTCTTCTCTCAGTGCAGATTAAACTAACAAAACTTCCATTGTACCCAACAATAAAAACTAATTGGATGTATTGTCAAAATCAAGATGTCTGGACATACCTGCATTGTTTTTTCTTTAGACTTTTAAGCGACACTGAACAATAAGTAACCATGATTTTGTTAGATGTTTCAAAAACTTAAGGATGGCATCATGCTTTTTTTTTTTTTAACCCACGGATGTTTTAAAACTAGTATAGTATTTTGTCCATCTAATTAGTATCAGATATTTAGATGAATCTCTGAGGTGTAAGTCACACTATGCTGTCATGTGTTACAATATATAAATGTTAGTCTACCTCGCCTATTTCCATTGTTTTCCTTGATTAAAGCTACAGTGTGTAATAATTACAGGGATATACAGTCAGAAATGTAATATATTATACATAACTATGTTATTTATCATCATCTACGAGCTCAGCCTCTTAACCTTAATATTTGCGTTGCCTTAGAATTCGTTATTCATAATTACATAGGAGCGGGTCTCGCAGCCATGGAGGCAGACATCTTTGCGCTACGGCAGCGCAGAGCCAACAAACTAGCGATTGCGAGATCGCCCATTACGCTCGAAACGGGTATATTTATTATCTTAAGTCTACATGAAATCTATACCCTACACAGACTAATGAAATACTATCTGTAAAATTATCTATGTAAACAAACCTCATCACTTGAGAAGGTAGGTGATGCGGACGTCGTGGAAGACATTTTGTCCCGTAACGCTCGCCGTACTGTTGGGGGGGAGAAGCGGTGGGGGGGAGATGTTCATGTTGCTGCGGTCTGCAGTCTGGACGTTAGATGTCGCTGAAAATTACACACTGTAGCTTTAAGTCATCAGTTGTTTTCATTAATATGCGAAAAAAAATCTTTGTATTTCTTTTTTTTTAGATAACTGTGTTAAGATTCCATATTATCAGTTTTACCAACTCTGAGCAAAAAGAAACAACTGTATGTCATGTGTTTTTTATAGAGTGTGCTGCCAAACCTTTTGGGAATAGAATAGGAACAAAAAAGCCTGACAAATGTAGAAGGAGAATCGGAACTAGACAATAACTTCATTTTAATTGCATTCTTGGGGATAGGGTAAAGGACACTGTACATCATACTTTTTCTTTCTCCTAAACAAACATTCCATCAGAGCGCAATCCCCATGGCTGACACATATCTTTGTGAAATGAAGGGTGTGAGTTTCCACTACAATGATTTGGCATGAAGCCTAAGTGGTGTGAGTGGGAAAGGCTGACACGCCCAGCTGGGAAGTGGGTTTAGCTGTACTTGAGCATTCCCCCGTCCTGTCAGCAACCTAGTGGAAAGACTTTGAAGAGAGGGACCGCAAGAAGAATAAAAACTATTATTATGCAGAGTCCTGTTTACTTTTGAGTTCCCTCAGCCGGGCCACAGCTGAGATATGGAGGGGTGTACATAGATTGCTAAAGCATTGAGAAAAAAAACAAAAAAAACAATGGCAAATGCTGTAGTCATTGAGCTGTCTGCTAATATAGAGTAACAGTATGGCTAAAAAACACAGATTTCAATAGAAATAGTGCCTGACATTTTGGGTCCACCAGTGGCAATGATTGCATATGGAATTTTAGGAAAGTCCACCCTGCAGGGAGAGGCAGCTGCAGGATCATTCATATTGTTGTTTATCTGGTGTGAGAAGCTGGGGAAACAATTGCCCATTGTGTAGTGATGATAACTGAGGTTTTCTTTTGATTTTATCTCCATCTTTTATTTCATTTTGTTCAATACCATCCTGTTTATAATCACGAAGTATCTGTCATTGTTGCTCTGCATATTTTCATCCAAGAGTAGCTGGTGGTCCTGTCTATCATCTCTATGCAAATGTCTCCCTAATTCCCTCTGCCATCTCACCGTTGCTTCCAGCACTAAGCTGCGGTATATCACTGTGTTGTCTTTATATAATCAACTGAACAACTTGGCTGAAAGTCAGTCGCTCGGCTAAAATCTGTGTTGTACTGGTGCAGACAGTTCATCTCTTTGGAACGTAAACATTTTTCAATGAACTACAACAAGTTGACCATCATTAAACAAATAAGAGATGGACATAGTGTACTTGTATTTTTGAAATATTTGTCCTTGTTAAAATGCATCTTTATTTTGTATTTTTTTGTGTATTTTAGGACAAAAGTAACCTTTTTGGTTCAATCCAAGCTTGTAAAATGGAAGCTCCTTTAATGTATATTTAAAGATTTTTAACTTTCTCCTTAAGTTCAGCCAGATGGCATCTTCCCCTTGGTCCTGACATCCGCCACCCAGGAACTCTTTGATTGCTGTGCCGATAAGGACGTCACAAAGAAGAGCCCTCACAAGCTGCTTAAAAAGGATGACATCCTACAGGACATAAAGACAAGAGCTGCAGAGTCTGATTTCACCCCAGTGAAAGAGATTGTGCTTGTAAGTTATGCGCTGCTGTGTAGATCATCCAGACAAATACACTGTGATAATAAACAGATCCCAAAACAAAGGGATCTATCCCTTTGTCTGATAAAAATCAAATGCATGATGATGTGATAACTGCACTCCTTCTTTGCCTAAAGCGCTTCCTGGTACATTACTCTTATTAGATTGTAGAACTGCCTTTAGGGGCCAATACAGGATAATCAGCTTTAAGCACAAAGTAGAGCCAATATTATTTCTATTTCTTTAGAAAGCTACTATTCAATTGATTGATATTGGCATTAATATGAAGCCTGAGTGGAAGTTCAACAGAAGAACCTGAATTACTTATTCTCACCTGCCTCCAATATAAGCCAATCAGCTTTAAATCATAACTCCACAAAGCCCAATCATCATCGAGAGTTCATCTTAAAAGGTGTCCAAATCCACAACTCAGTCTGCTACCCAGCCAAAGCCCAGGCAGTGGTTGTGCTATATCTGACTTGATTCAGATGACCCTGATTCAACCCACCTCCCTCCCCTTCTCCACCATCATAGCTAAAGCTTCATCGGACCATTGTGCTTCTTCTACTTCATTCCCATCAGAGTACAATTCCTCCTGGACTCTTATGGCGTTCCCTGCCTCATCTCAACTGGTCCGGCAGAAGACCGCCATGTTGAGCCTGGTTATGCCAGAGGTTTCTTCCCAAAGGGGAGTTTTTTTCTCTCCACTGTTGCTTCATGCTTGCTCATCATCGAAAGGTTCATGCAACACGTTTATCCAAGCTTGACTTCCATCTTCTAAGTCCCTCAGCAATTCAGCTTAAGCACACCGTCTCACCAACCATCAGTCTATGGACTGTCCCTATTTCATCATCCATGTTCTTATACTCCTGCTTATGCATATCAAAGCAAAATTCAGCCCTAATGTTTCCTGCCGAGGTCTGAGCGCCAAAGACTAAAGTTATTGTATCAATAAAATTCTTCTAATTGTCTTTTTCTTTCCGTCTGATTTTTTCAGATTGAAATGTAATTCATTTTGTCTAAACCACGTAAATTTAGATCCTATTTTTATATTTCTTTACATTTTTTGTGTTTGTCAGATGGTCATATCATGTCAAATTTGTGATTCTCATTAACCTGGTATTCTGGTATAATCTAAACAGGATTACCCAGAGGAAGAGATATTGTTGGTCTTTGATGCAGACTTCACGCATGGGCAGAACTTCTACTTGGTCTTGGCACCAGAAGCCAAGGATATACTTAAAGTGAGCATAAACGTTTTCTTTTGTATATTATTTTTACTGAATTTTTTTAAATAATTGTTTTTATGACATAACAAAATAAAAAAATTTTCAGGCATTTAAGTCATTCAACATGAAATTGAAACATATTTTCTAGGCCTTGTAATTCATTTTTCTTCCATTTACAGAAATTAAAGCAGACTTCACAGCTTCAACTGGGGTTAATAATTGTAAAAACTGTAGTTTCTGCTCTGTACCCAGGCCCTATTTTGTCTGTGTTATTCAGCCTCTAGATACTACATCCGATGTATTTGAGGCTGAAGTCAAGAAAACCCCACCACCAAAACAATGGATTTCTCTTGGCAGTGAGAAGGAGATAGAGGGGCCTCTCAAGGAATCAAGAGGAAAGGCAATGCACAATTATAAAACACACATATCCACTGTGAATTCAAATATTAAAAATGCCTTCATCGTGATGCATTTTTTGTAACCCTTCTACCTATTTTGTCTCCTTTCTCTCATCAGCTGAGGCTCAAAATAAGTCTAGAGCGGGAACTTGGATTGCCAGTCTGTTTTACAGATTTTACTCGTGCAGATAGCGAACTAGGGTGTACTTCCTACCAGGATAGTAGATTCAACATCAAGATACTTACCAGGGATTGTGGAATCCAGGCTGTACCAGAAGAACAGACAAACAGTAGTCAGACCACACGGTATGGATATGAATCTTTGCACATAAAGTCATTTTAATAAGCACAAAAGACATTCAAATATTTTGGCAGTGCAGAAAAGGATACTTCAGAAATGTAATAAAAACCTTAAACACGCCCCAAAATATTTGAAAGTCACTGCATGGTACCTGACTTTCATATTTAAAAATGGATGCTGCTTGCAAGCAGCAGTGGTTGCATTTTCCTACTTGGACTGTTTTAAGCCATTGTATGTAGCATTAAGCCAGTTCAGGAACTCTCTATAAGTGTTTAGAAAAAGATATGTTTCAATATCATGTCTACCAGCAGAACACCATGTAGAGCGGTACTTCAGTCATTGTTATGGATCTAACAGCTGCCAGGAGGGAATACAAGAGTGTATGCTGAAAACTGTAATGCATTTACCTCAGAGATGATATCACTCTGACTTTTCACATTTAAATCCCAAAGACAATTGCACCTTCAGTTTGCCCTGGGGAAGCTTTATTGTCTAAGCAGCCAGACACTTTTCCATCTAGATTAGGTATAACTGAAAGCTGTGCTCCCCAAGTTCCACTAATTTATAAAGTTTCCAACCACAAAACTGCAGTAAATCAGAAAACATTTATTGTAGCCTTCCAGGAGTTTTCAAGGCTTTGGCAGTTCCTTTCTTTAGAATGTCAGTTCACACTTCTGTGGACATGATCCTTGCCTAGCCACTGATCTGCAGAACCAAGACACCGACTCTGAATACGCATTTGAATCTTTGCAGTCCTATACTCACTTATGCTGCCTGACCCAAAACAACCAGGTTTCTTTTATCAAAGAGAAACTATGGGTAGACAGAACAGTGGGCTCGCTGCTTACAGACTGGGATGCAGCATACAGTACAAATCAGCAGATGGACTGATGTAAAGTAGCGCTTGGGAAAAAAGGGGCAATCAGCAGGCAAAGCATAGGTAGATGAAGCTTAGTAACAGCAACCTTCTATGTGGAGAGACATCAGGAACATCATGCATTAAAAGCGTAGCAACCAAAGAGCTTCTTTGCACTCCTTACTCCCCAAGTTACAGGAGGTCAGAACCACATCCTTAGCCGAAGGTGCAGCATCAGCCTCTCATCAGGCAGCTGCACCAAGTGACATCCATTTTCAGTTCAGCCTTCAATATCATCCCTCTAGACATATTGGCTCTTAAACTCTACTCGAGTTAAAAACTGTTTCTTACCCAAAGCTGTGAGAGCAATCATTTTTCTGTAGTCTCTGAAATTCACATCCCATCTTACCTTCACACAAACCCCTCCACACATCTGCAAACTACGTAGTGTTTCCCCGAGGCCATTTTTTGGCCCCGATACCGATACCCGATTCCTGGCTGTGCAGTATCGGCCGATACCGATACCATAATAATGTAAAATAATTGCCATCATGGCTTTGTCAAGCTGCTGCCTTCCTTTTGTGAAGCAGGAAAAAATCTAATACAAAGTGAATCCAGCAGAACTTTTTATTGCCTACCAGGAGTGGGTGACAATAGTTGAATAAACTTATGGCTCTCAAAATGGTATCGGTGCCCTATTTGTTGGTACTCGCCGATACCGATACCGATACCACCATTTTAGGGCAGTATCGGGGCCCCGTCCGATACTGGTATCAGTGCAATACTATTACAAACTAGATCACATCTTGTTGAACATCAAATGCTACCAGCCTATTTTATAGGCTGCTCTGCCACTTCATATAATATTGACCTTCTTCCAAAACTGTTTGATTATCTGGAAGTGCTTTAATTGTTTTTCCAGTTTTTCACCAAAGGAGTATATTTAAGTAATAATTTTTTTCTTCTTTTTAAGGGTTACCTGTTCTGTTTTCTAAATATTTTACATTTGTGTTAACCTTTTGTGCGCATTCTGAGCTGAGAGTTATGGTCTTATAATGATAATAAAAAATCTTGTTTCCTAATTCTTTATAGAAACACTCAAAATAACATGGATGCACAGTACAACCCAAGAGAGTTCAGCAATGAGGAAAAAGAAAAAATTCTTCAAGATGAGAGTTTGAAGAATATTCTTGCCACACAGACCCCCAGGTAAAAAAAAAAAACTTTTTTCATTGCACTTAGACCACAGAGATACAAATATTTGTATCTCAGTTATTTCAACACAAAGTTTCAGACTCACCAGCTATCTCTGAGAAATACTCTAAAGCGTATTGCAGCAACATTTTCTAAAATCATAATAACTTGATTATTCGCACAACCAGTTATTGTACTGCTTTTTTTTAGGACCTTACATGCCCTACAAGAAGAAGAGATAATGAATGTGTTTATCAATTACTTCAAGGACCTGCTGCCAGAGAGTGCCATTACCTGGTCAGAGCCAGTTTTAGTCTTCAGTGATAACAAGTTCTGTGGAAACAAGGAAATTAGTTGCCTTAACTGGCACCCTATGATATATGGTAAAGTGCAATGTTTCAGTGTAACTGAGCTTCTTTTATCTGCTAATTTAAAGAATGAATTTTCTAATGCAAATTGACTTTAATCATGTTATATGTGGTAAATGAGGAGCTTTAAGAGTTCGTGCCTTTTTTTTTTAGTTTGATCACAGCATCGTTATTTGTGGTGATTTTTTTTTTTTTTTTTTCTGAATGCTGCAGGTGTGATTGCCATAGCTTTAATACAGAAGAGGGAGAAGCAGTCAGAGAGAACTGCTTTGTTAGAATTGGAACCTGCTCTGATCATTTTCTGGAGCTTTTTTGACCCCTATCATCCCCAGGTAGGACAAACAAACAACAAACTCTTCAAAGAATTTCAGAAATATCCACCATAGCTCTTAGAGAAAAGCTTTTACAAGAAACAGCAAAAAAATCAATTGCACATCTTTCTTCAATACTCTTCTTTGCCGAAGGAAAATTTGAGAGGTTCTATTGATTTGACCCCATGTATTATGTAAATCTTCTCTAGAGCATGAGTCATCCATTGCTTTGTTGGTACGTGTAGGGACATGTGGGACTTATGCACATGCAGTATCTATTGAAATAAAGATTATGCAGAGATTTCTGTATTGTCTCCAATCTTATCTTGATTTGCAAGATAAGATTGGAGACTAGAATGAATAATAAACTCTCATGATGGCTAGTTACATCTTGTAAAACCTGTCCCATTTTGTAATATTGATACAACCACTTTTTGCTGCAATGGCAGCTTTATGCTTCTACCAGCTTTAGACTTCACTAGACTAAACTCGGCAGATTATTCTTTTAAAAATAGCTCATGAGAAGATCGGAAGACCAGTTTTGTATAAACATTTTTAAACTTTGCAAAAGTTTTATTTGTGTATGGACTTTGACTGTGTGATTCTGATACCTGAACATGTATTATTAAAACCATTCTAGTATCATTCTGGTTGCAACTCTTGACATATTTAAAGTCTCCCAGCAGGTTTTCTTTCTAGATTTACCCGAATTTAGCTTTGATAACATTCCTGTCTACCGTGCTTTTACCACATACTGTACCCTGTCCCTGTTGAAAAAAAATACTCCTACGGCTTGATGCCACTACCACCATGTTCCATTGTGGGAATTGTGGGATTTTGACCTTCATCCACTCTCACTTAGCATTTTGCTTATAGGCCAAAAAGATGGGTTTTATGTTAGCTGCCTGACCAGACAACCGTTTCCTAAATCTCTTATCTAGCTTATGGCAAATTGCATACAGGACTATTTCATCTTTAATTTCAGATGAAATAGTCCTGTATGTTGCCATTTTAATCTGAGCTGTGGATCTCTGCAGCTGCCCCACATTTACTATGGATATCATTTTTTTCTTGACTGCCCTTTCAGTTACAGTGGACAGGCTTGTCAAGTTTGCAGATGTACCAAATTGTATTTTCAATTACCTGGTTGAGAAAGTTGTTTTTGAGATGTTTATGCTTGGAGTATTGTTTTTAACCATGTAACTCTTCATATTTCTCTCAAACTGCCCTTCCCAGTGTATCCTTTGGTCTTCATAATGCTAGGTCCTATAGAATATTTACTAATAAACCTCTGAAGCTCTCAACAGCCTCAGTAAGATTCAATGAACTGATTTTGCAGGTTCTGATGGAACCTGCAGCTTATTTAGTGATAAAACAGTGAATTGTTGTGTCTTCCAAAGGTGTCAGTGTTTTATTGTGATTCATTTTGTTTTATCTTTTTTTTCCCAATCATCTTTTTTGTTGCTCTTTTAAATAATATCCCAATGAAGTACAGTGAAACTTCAACCGCACTGCAAAATAATTATTCTGAATAAGTCACTAAATAAGTGGGGGTTTTTTCTATTAAGATGATAAGTGAGACACTTTGCTAAAGGAATAAGACAATTTACATTAAAACAAAATTTAAAATTATTAAAATAAAATACGTCAAATAAAAAAAAATGCTTCTTTCATATGCACCATATCTAATTATCTTTTTTTAAGAGTAAAAATATTCATTCCATCATTTTATTTACCTACTCAAATTAAAGGTAAATACACTTATTTAAAATTAAGTTACTTATTTTTAGATAGTTTTGCAATGTCTTAAACAAATGAAACGTGGAGTTAAAAGAATAAGACAATTATAGTCATGTTCATGTTTAAATGTACATTTTCTGTACTTAGTTTTTTTGTTGTTGTTTTTGTGTTTTCCAGTTGCTTCTTGAGTGCCCAGATGAAATTCTTGCATTTGAGTTCTGCCCGTCTAATCCAAATATTATTGCTGGTGGCTGTGTTAATGGAAAGGTGCTCCTTTTTTATTATCACATCTCCTGTATTCTATGCTTTTCACAGTTTAAACATATTTCTTTCTACACATGGACCAAATCCTTAGTTTGCAATGCAATATTACATTCTATGGTTTAATTTTATATTATTTATTTGAGCATTTCTTACCAAGTTCAGTTGTTGTTCTCTACTAACTTAAACCCTGTTTCAGGTTGTGTTGTGGGACATCTCTGCTCATGTCAACTACTTACAAGCAGCACAACCTGGGACATTTGTAAGTACAAATATTTATGCACTTAAAAAAAAACATCTGATTAAAACAGACTTTTCTGTCACCAAAATATATCTGAATAAAGAGATGTGTTTTTGAAACCTTTGTTTTCCTTCAAATTCAGAAGTTTACACACATTTCTTTACTCTTTGGCAAAACTGTTGTAAACTGTATGGTTTGGGCAGATATTTTTGGTGAACCATTCACAAGCTTTGCAACATATTTTGGGGGATTTTTTTCTAAATCCTTATTAAAACTGATATGAATAGGTCAGTTGTGTAGTCTACTCTTTTCACACACTTTACTTGCAAATGGCTACAGAATTATATCAGTCGCCCCTGCAGCACAACGCTCACATAACATGGTGTTTTTACCAGATCACATCTTTTACCATTAAGATCTTAACCCCTTAGAGGATTTGCTTTATTAAAAAAAAATAGTCAGAGTGAGATAAAGGGCTTTGTGGTTTTTATTCCTTTAATAACATAAGTTAATTTTCTAAATATTTGCCTTTTTATGTGGTATTGGTAAAAGCGCTATCAAAAAAGTGATTATATATCATCAATTTGTTACTGTTTACTGTTTAATTAGCAACCAGACATTTAATGCCTCCTGAGTTTTTGAGAATGCATTTGAATAAGTTTTCTTTTCTACCTAACTGCAATGTACACTTACATCACCTAATAAATGTTTTACATTGCTGTATATATTGGCTCTGTGCATTTTTATTATCTTCACAGTTTTAACAGCTGTCTCCATCCCACTCCTTACTGCTTTTTTCTTCTTTACCTCTATACTGTCATCCCTCTCCATTTCTTTATGTCTTTGTTGCTCTAAATTCTCCAGAGTAAATACAGCACAGTTCACATGTGTCAGCTGTTACACAAGATAACATTCATGCTAATCAGATCATTGCTCTCTCGGCTGTTTGCAAAGTAAACAAAAGCAGTTAAACCGGTTGAAAAAAGACTTTCAAATTTGGATGTTGAAATCTGTGAAAGATTCAAATATTTATCAATTGCTTACCAGATCACCTTTGGTTTTGTCTTATGCTAGAGTGATTAGTAATGCATATATCCTAATGATCAGATATGATCTACAGTACTTTGTTCAGTCAAAATCTGTGATTGTTTGTTTTGTTTTTGTTTTTTATTAGTTACATGGCAAACAAAACAAAAAACTCAAACAGAGCTTACAATTATTTAAATTAATTGATCGTTCTTTGGATAGTTATGTACTTTCATATCCCGCAGAAGCATTTTGAAAGGCTTTTGTCTTGAATACAACCTGTCTATTTTGACTTTACTGAAGAGTGCTTTTTGTGTTTGTTGTCCCTCCAGGATTTGAATGACAACAAAGTGAATAGGACCCCTGTTGTGCCTTACTGTGTAGAGTCAGAAAACAAGAGCAGCCACAGAGCCCCGATTACTGATTTGCAATGGCTGCCACCAACATTTCAGGTATGGAAAAGTTTCCTCTTAAATAGCTGACCTCAGTTCAAAATTAAAAACTAATTTTGTGCTAAGTAGAGTAGGTAATTCATATAAATATGCGTTCCTGATGAAAAATGTGTTTTTGTGTGTGCATACATAGCATTGATGTCAGTTTGGCATTCATCTTTGTTTTATGGAATTATCCCCAGTTCAAATATTACAGAGTACCTACAGTGAACTGTCAACGATATAACCATTGTTTATTGAAGTTAATGTAGAGGTTCAATTGAAAAATATTAACTATTCTTTAAGAATTTTATTATAGGATATATGGCTTAGAAGCAAGATGTCAACTTTGACTACAAACAAACAAAAGATAATTGGAATAAACAGTTAGCATACATAATGCAGTTTCCTTTTTTTTTTTTTGCTGTTACCTATATTACCTCTGTATAGAAAGGTGCGACAAATCATTTCTTCCTCCTGCGTTCATCAGGGTGAATAAAATTAGTAACCATATAAGTTTCACAAAGGAAAAAAAAGTGTCCTACATTTTCTTGCAGAATTTGTACCACTTGAGCTTTTACACATTGTTATAAACTTATGTTTCTTTTAAGAAGATGAATTACTTTTGATAAAGAAAAAAAAAAATTGTTGACTTCTTTGAACCGCAATTTTCTATTCCAGCTTCAGGCTTTTAGTCATATTTAAGACCTTTTATCAGTCTGGTTCACATGGCAAGATTTAAAAATTGGCAGTTCATCTTCAAAACTTGAGACCCCCCACTTGATGATAAAAAAAAAAAATAAATAAATAAACATGACAAGCACAGCCCACCATACGTGACCTGATTTTAATGCACTCGATAGCATTTAGCAAAGTGCGTACAAATGCATCTGATGCACCGGCCAGTCTCTGTGTACAATAGTAGATTTAATGGAATGGCTTAGCTTTATTTGCTGTGATGAATGGGAAAAAATTTAGTTCTGACATATTCTTAAGTGAGAAAGTAAACCTTAAAACATTTCCATGCAGTCAGTTCTTTGGGATTATGATCTTACCTGTAAATTATATGTTTTAGTTGTTGCGAGCAGCAAACCCCACGTACAGGTGGGCCGTACTCTGAGGATTCTCAGTGACAGCACCCTCACACTGCTCAGCCTCTCAGGGATTTCCCACTGCTACATGTATATATAAACTGTTATTTTTAACTCTTTTGAGGCCTTTGAAAGAGAACTTAATTAAACACAGTGAGACTTTATTGCACTGCATTATATGTAGGGACTGATAACCTCCACAGTTCTTAAAAATGCTGAAGAACATTGATATTTTTGACAGGAGTTGGTGTAGACTTGTGTTGATTTTGTAACTCTCTCTCTAAAAGGTGAACAAGATGGGATTACCATTGGAGAACAAGATGAAAGTGTCTGTTCAGTTTGTCACATGCTCTCCTGACCGGTAGGCCTCAGAACACATTGTAAATCTAAATGGAAGTCTAAATCTTACTGTGAAAAAATTTAAAAATGGAACTTCAGTATATCATCGAGAAATAAATCTTTAGAATAAAAGTACATTAAAAATACTTAATGCATTTGCAACATTGCACTATTGTTTTTCAAATATCTTAATTTGAGTCCAGGGGTCACCAACATAGTGCCTGCGCCCTTTAAATGGGGAAAAGTTGGGAAAAGGCACAATTAAGTGTGCACACATCTCGCAAAAAAAAAATGTCTTCTTCTTCTTCTGTTTATAAAATCTAGCAGCACATACGTGCTACGCGCTTTCCAGAAGGCTTCGAATAAAACACCTGCAATAAACTTTCAGGCCTGGCAGTAAGGAGACCGCATTGTGCAGGTCTGCAGCGAAGGGTCCTGACAGTGCAGGTCTGCAGCCAGACCCCTTTTGATTGGTTCAAATAATCTATCTAAGGAAAACCAATTGACTGCATCAACTCATTGACTCGAAAGCAATCCCTCACACCAAGCATGCTTGTAATGAAAGTGGAGAGGAATACTCCCTTTTAACAGGAAGAAACTTCCAGCAGGACCAGGCTCAGTGTGAGCAGCCATTTCCCAAGGCCGACTAGGGTTCAAGGAGACAGAAGCAGACATACAGAAAGAAGCAGAGATAGAAAAGGGAACTGTCAACCAGCTCCACAGGCGGCCTATACCAGAAACAGCGGACAGGCAGATGAGCTCCGAACCAGCTGCCAATATTTACTTACACTTTAAAAATGGCCCAATACAGTCAATACTGTTACAGTTAAGCTTCAAGTTTTTTTTTACATTTTCAGGTTTCAATCGTTTAACCTTATTTTTCTCTATAGCACTCTACGATTTTGGGATGTGAGATGCAAAGATCTGGAGCCACCAGAGACAACCTACAGCATCCCTGGAATGTTTCAACACCTGACCAGCTCATGGAAACCCTTTTTCACGGTACTCTTACCTTTGGGAGTTAGTGATATGGGAGGAACCAAAGCCTAACCAAATAAAGAATAAGTGGATCCATTAACCCTTCTGGGACTTCGAAAACTAAGGAATTCAATTTTGGAAACTATTAGAGAGATACAAAGGCTAAAATCTTGTATCCTTTGTCATTTGTCAGGTTTCACTGCCAGAGACTGAGACCGATGGAAAATATGCTCCTTTGAACTTCTGCTATGAACATCAAACCTGCACTACAGGTAAGAACACAGAAGATAGTTTTTTTTATTTTAAGTGTGACTTGATTACTGTGCCTAATTCATAAGAAATGTTATAGTTTTAATTATATTACAAATATTTTTGTTCAGTTTTGCTTTTAGAGGCTGAATTCATGGGTGTGCAGAGCTTTCTTGCTCTGTCTTTCTTCTTTAAGTTTCCCAGAGCGCTGATAAGAGTCTGTCTTACAAAACAAGTCCCTTAATGGTAGCAAAGCGCTGGCCTTGCTCACTGTCAGCTCTTTGTAATACCTAACTCAGAATGTTTGAGTAGACATTGAGTGTGTCCCAGACGGTCAAGAAGAGGCCCGTCTTTGTCTGGCTGAAGGTCTGGCTCAATAACAACACTTTGCTGGCTGCTTGTGGAGTTGATTTCCTCTTATTTAATTGTTTGTTTCACTGGCCCAAGGCAGTAAACAGTTTAGATTTTTATGAATCCTAGTATGAGGAATATTTTGGTTCAACCTTAGAGTTTTGGCTATCTTATTGACAAAGGTGAGTCTTTGTTCTCTGGTCTGTATTGATAAACTCCTGCTGTTATTTTGAAAGTTAGAGGTTATAATTAAACAAGCAAAGGTATTACCAGTGGGCTTCATTCAAATTGAGTTGAATTTAAAATATGTTTGGTCCTATAGGTGCTGTTGAAACTCTTATAGATTTTGAAAGTCTAGTGACATCTATAAAACAGTAAATCAACCATGTTTTTAAGCAGAACTACATCAAGTTCTGCAGTGTTGCAATTCATCACACTCACATTTTTCGATAGACTTAATTATAGAAGATAGAAGTTAATTTGGAAAATGTGTCTTAAAGATTAACCAAAAAATCTGTTACTAAATATACAAGCTTAACTTTCTGGTTTGATCAGTAGGGACTTTATTAACTAGATCCTATTTCCATACAAAGTGCTGCCAGGCTGCATCTGTCTGGAATGAAAGACTCAGTTAGTTAGTTTTATTATCATTATCAATAAATGAAGTCAGATAAAAAAAGAGTTGTGAAAAGCTGTGGGAGACAGATCGTTCAGCCTACTTTATATTGTTACCTAGGGCCTATTTAAAAATCAAAATTTATACTTGATTCTAATGAACCTGGGGTCCATTTGACGAGGCAGGTTTAACAAATTCAGAGGCACTCAGACACTGGTGGTGTGCTTTCACTGAGAAATGTTTTGCCAGCCTGGTTTCGACATTTTAAGTAAATTACGCGTTAATAAACTGTTTCAGTGGAGTGATCATAGTGCTGTGCATCAACATAGCTGTCTGTCTCCCTGCCAGGTCCCAGATCAGCTTCTCTTATTGGTTGATGTGGCATGTCGAGCAGCAAAAGTTCAATTTTTCCAACTCCAGCAGCTGCTGCTTCTGAAGCGCTTCATGCTCGTTAGATGATCTGAAGCTTGTGAGGTGCTGCTTCAGCTGCTCCTTCTGCTCAAAACGCTCTGCAGGACCTTTTGCTGCACCTTGATGCGCATCAACCGTTGACTTTTCATGTAAACTAGCTGCTTCTGCTGCCCCTGCTGCTTACGGTCTGAACGAAGCATAAGTTTATATAAAGCGGGCTATGGCAGGCTACATTTATATTTCTTAATAGCACGCTCCTCTCTGTTGTTCCATTTATAGATCACTAAAATAAGATTCTTCCTGATCAAAATCACACTGCTAGACCTAACTGTATTAATATATTTTTTAAATTACATTTTTGTAGGAGAAATTTAATTTTAGTAAGTAAGAAAAACAAAATTATACTATTATGAACTAAGATTTATATATCTATTATTTACACATTTTAAATGGCCATTCTGACATTTATCAACTAGACTTAAAATGTATTTTTGATATCTGAAAAACATTTTTTCATAGTTAAAATAATACAATAATACAATATAATACATGCTGACCAGTAACATTAGGAATATTGAGATCTGAAAGTAATTTAAAGACATCCAGAAAGTTTATTCTAGATGGGGAGCTTGCCATTTTGTTTTTGAAAGGATTATTTAGACAAAGAAAATATATTTTTTCAGATATCAGGAATACACATTCAGTAAAACTAGTACATATCAAAACGACTTGCCATAGCCTGTTGTGAACACGATAATATTACAGGATTATTTCTTGAATGGTAGTAGATCAGAACCATACCATACCAACTTTATTTACACCGACAGGACCTAAGTGCTGTACACAATCATAAAATAAAATGCAATTATAAAATCATTGCATCTATTTAGGTAAAATCTTCTGGCAGCAGGTGAAAATGAAGTCTAAAAATGTTGTTCTAATATATAGAACCTGCAGTTCATCATGGGTCCCTCCTCATGTTGATTCAGTCCTCTTTTACACAGTAAATACTAAGTGACTGTTTGCAGCTGCGCTTCTGATGTTATTATCCCAATAAATTGTTGTTATTAGCAGCTATCAGTCCCATAGAATGGCTTCAGATTGTGTAAGCAGGCTCATTAGATTGTTATCATCAAATAACGAATCCTAATCCTAACCCTAATGTAATACCTTTACCCTGCAGGATTAATTAATCTATTTTTGTGTAATCTGAAAATAATTTCAGTAGTTCTTCATGTACTGTAAATATAACTAAATAAAAATAAAATGATCCGCATCTTCCTGATTAAACGAACCAAAAAACAAGTAACCTCATGCCCTGTCAACTATTTAATTCTCTGTGAAAAAGTGCCAGTCATTTTTTAATAAGTTTCTCGTCAAACGAACATGCAATGTTTCTTTTTAGAACTAATGCGTGTAACGGACCTAGTGTAATATATATATAGTTTTTATGCACAAAATTACAACAAAAATCTGACTAAATCAGGAAATAAAAAAACATGATTGGCTGTAATGAGAGCAGACAGAGGAAACTCAAGAGTTTACTGAAGAAAACCTGCTACAGACCAGGTTATCTCTGGGGAGAATGTTGCTATGGTAACTGAAACAGAGGTTGAGGAAACTCTCTTTGTGAACTGGAAAAGTCAGAGTTTCCCCGTTTTTAGGTTTAGACAAGTTAGAGTTTTCTGTAAACCTGCTTCGTGAAACTGACCCCTGGACACCAAAATGTGGTTGATCACTGTTAATTGATAAATTTACATGAGAAGAGGTGGTGCACCTTTTTTTTTTTACACAGGTCCATGCTGCTCTGGATATCTCATTGCCTTGAGGACAAAAATAATAATATTAATAAAAAAAAAAATATATATATATATATATATATATATATATATATATATATATATATTTATACTACCTTTGTCTTTTCATTTTTAATTTTGTTTCATTATTTGTACCAATTAACTTGTCAAAAAGCAAAACTTGTAGAGATTTAACAAATGAAGCCTCCTATAGAGGTACGGGGAAAGGGTTCTTCGTTCTCATGTTGATTACTACAGTTACTTTTCCCCCTTTTTTTCCAGAACCCTCACTCCTTGCTTGTCTCCCCATTGCTGTCTTCCCCTGCTGTTCTCTCATTCCTTTCTCCCAACCCATTCATTAGATATTCCCACCCCCTTTTTCCTCCTACCATATTTTGAAGAGTAAAATTGCTAAACAGACAGCCTTAGTCCAAATTTTTTTATATCGTTACATTAAGCATAAGCCATCGACTCTTAACTGTTTGTTATTTTTTATTAAGGGGCTTTGCTATTTTGTTTGTTTCTGGAAACATAATTGACTTTGAACTGTCCCATTAAGAAAAAAGTACGGAAAAAAAGTGGCCAGACGTCCTTCCTGACTACAGCCAACTCAGAATTCCCTCGTCTACAAATCTGAAACCAATGGAAGATGTCAACACCAAGGTTTTTTTGGGAACAGAGGTACTTTTTTAAAATAAAAAAAAACAAAAAAACAAAGTGAAAATAAACTTCATTAGTAGTGTTTTAAAATCAGATATATATATTTATGTTTCTATACATTTTAAGATTACTCTGTACCTTTTAGCCAATATCGTGACATAACATTTACTATGAAGACTTGAAAGATATATTCTTGAGAGATTTATTCTGTGATGAGTCTCATATTGTGTGTTGTGTTTTCCACCACAAGAAAGGAGAGATTGTTTACACTGACTGGAAAATGGAAACCAAAGGGTCTAGCAGACCAAACAGTAAGTTGTTTAATATTCTTTGTTTGTTCTTTACTGTGTGCCAATACTTTGATAGCAGACGACTTTAATGACAATGAGCTAAGCTATGATTTTTTCCTCATATCCAGGTGCCGCACCCCTCCTGCATTTTAACACACATCATCCGTTTGTGAATACAATGCAGAGATCACCATTCTTCAAAGACATTATTTTGACAACAGGAGGCTTGAACTTTGCCATTTGGAAAGAGGGAGTCATGGTAACCACAGTAAAACATGTGTTTTAGGTGCCCACTGCCCAGTGTGTGTACATACACAGCTATAGGTCAAGTATTACAACATTGAATATTTAACACTGGAGGACACTTTTATCTCTATACATAGTGCCTTGCAGAATTGTTATACCCCATTGAAGGGCTTTTATGTGACAGTTTAACAGAAGGTAGAGCATGCCTGTAATGTCAAAAATAATAGATGCTTTTTAATATTCTTTTTTACAAATCAACCGACGAATGCGGTGAGCGTATTGATTCAGCCTTCTCTTTTCCATGAGTAAAGTCATGTGCATCTAAAGTCCAATTGAGTTTACAGTTAAAGCATGCTGTTAATTTCTCTGAGGTAAGAACAACAGTGAACAAAAACAGAGCGGAAATAATCAAGGAATAATGCAGAAAGGATAAATAAATAGAGAAGGTTACAGTTACAGTAGAACAATATGGCTTCCAGAGCAATTTGAACAGTTTTACTGAGAAATAATAATTCAAGTCTACAACTATAGCTTGAGTTCCTGTACTTCCTTGTGCACTTTGGAAAGTATTCGACACTTCTTATTCAACGAAGAGTATGATGCATGCTAAATATGAAACGTCCCTTTTTTTTTTTTAGGTTTAAGCAATACATTTCATTTAAGGATGTAAAAACTTTAACATAATTTTGGAACATGCCATTAATCAGATTTGTTCAAAGAACTTCATTTTGAATCTGATATGTTGGTTGCAACTCTGAAATGTTCATCTGCTTTTTTGTCCCTGTAATGCTGCTTCATGTAGAAAGGCCCGTTGGTTGTATCAAAAAAATATGAGCAGGAGTGCACTGCGGGATGCTGGTCGCTGTCCCAACCAGCTGTTTTCTTTATTGGAAAAGAAGATGGCAGTGTTGAGGAATGGGACCTGCTGAAAAAAAACAGTAAACCAGCACAGCTTATACCACACATCAGCAAAGGCAAGATTACCTGCATGAAACCCTGGGCTGTCTCTGGTGAGAAAACACATGGGCTTCCCAATTTGAGTGTTTGTCTTTTTTAACCCCAAACTGGTAGATGTTCTTTTTAAACAACTAAAGGTTGATTCATCTCTTTCTCAGCCACCATGTACAGGAAATGGAAAGTTCACTCTCCAGCCCCTTTCTTTGTTGACTTGTATTTTTATGATAGCTATTTCAAAGTTGTATTTTAGTAAGGTTTCTGCCTCAGATCATTGTATTTGTTGCTTGTTTTATTCATTTTCTTGTATTTCACTTCATTGTAAGAAAACTCTGCAGGCTAATTGAAATTATTGTATGTTTCTAGCCAAGAAGAACTTCCTTGCCATTGCAGATGACCTTGGCATTGTTGCTGTTTTTGATATGTCAAAGTCCCAAGTTGAAACCCAGAGTCATGAGGTGAGTAAGCAAAGCCAAACTTGTTTATGGAAAGATCAAGAATAGCCTTAGAAGCCTTGATCAAGTCGCTTTCTAGTTTCAGTATCACAACAACAGTATAAATTATTTATACAATGCTTTCAAAAGTATGTATTCCCCTCAAAGATTTACTTCTCTCTTGTCTTTCCTCCAAGCAAGAATCTTAAAATATGTTTTGTTATCGACTACTACAAAGAATCATTTTGAAGTTTAAATGAAAGTTATGTGAGAAAAATAAAAATCCAAAAGATACCCGTTTACTCTTTTAGCCATATAAAAATTATTGTTTACCAAAACTGTTTAAAAAAGCCCTAACTATTATAGAGATAACATCTGTGTGTAATTTATTCTCATAAATAAAGCTTTTTTTTGTGGAGGTGTCTAGTGAACATTAGTGACCAAACAGCACCACAAAAGACCAAGAAAAATAACAACGTGATTACTTTTTGGTTATGGAGACATTGAAAGCACAGTTTGTTCATAAAGCAATAGGTTTTTAACAATATAGATACTTAGCACCATTCAGTCTGTCCTGTCATAAGAACCTACCAGGATATGACAACCCACCAAGACTGACAGGACAGTTTTTTTTCTTCAGAGTCATTGTTGTGAGAAAACCATTTCAAATTCCATGTGAAGTTTGCAACAAGTCTTATTTAGGACAAAGGAACATTTAGCAATAAAATGCACTTATTAGCCTTATCACCTAGAGAGGGTGGTGGGCAGCCGTCCTATGCCTTAGGGCTGTCAGTTGGGGTCTTGGGGGGATCTGAGGACCTGGGTTCCTGGTGGTCTCTTGGGTTTTTGGGGTGGGTGGATGCTGTCTTGCGGCTTAGGATCCCCTGGTTGGGCCCAGTGCAGACTACTCGGGCATGGGCTTCAGGGCCTGAGCCCTGGGGTCCAGGTGCGGCCTCAATGCCACCGGGTATGCCCTTCTCCCGGTGTCTGGGGGGGGCCGGGTCGCCTTGGGCATGCTGTGGTGGGGGTGGGACCATGTGGGTGGTGGTGGGTCTGTTCCCAGACTGTTGTGATTGAAGTAGATTGGGTGAGTGTTGGGGGGCTTCCTTTGTGACCCGGGTCGGGTCCAGTTGTCTCTACAGTGGTCTTCCTGGTCTCTGTGCTCCGGGATGTCCACTGGTGGACTGGGTCTGAGGTCCTCTTTGCCCCCTCCAGATTACTGGTGCGGGGCCGGTTGCAGCACCCCCAATGCATGTCTGTGCTCCTTTGCAGGTGCTTCTACATGTTTTTTCTTGGCTTTGCAGACATTTTTTGTCTTCTACAGATACAGCAGTTGATTGTATTTGTATTCCTTTTTTGTATTTTTTCTCTTTTCTTTTTTCTTTCTCTTCCCCTCCCCACCTTTCATGTTTGGCATTACTAATCTTACTTTTGTAATTAAAATAAATCTTAAAAAAAAAAATTCTCTGGTTGAACTAGACCAGAATCTAACTTTTTTTTTTAAGAAAAACAATACTGATGGTCACCCTTAACCACCATCCCTAGAACAAAACATACAGATCAAAGTTCAGTTCACACAGATAAAAAGCACAATAGAATCTCTTCTTAACGTCAGATATAATTCACTGCCACTGAAAATCTTAAATGATAATAAAAAGAAAGAATCACAGGCAGAGATAATTTTATACCCAAGAGAAATAATGGTGAAATCGATAACATCTTTCACCTGTTAAATAATGTGTGATCATGATAACATGTAGAAAGTGGAAAATACCAGGTGCAGTGAAACTTTTATTCAGACAGCAAGAAGAGTATTACACTGGACTTCAAAATCATAAAGATACATTCAGATTCCTGTGAAAAAATCTTCTTCTGCTTTTAAAAAGTCCAGAATATTGCAAATTGTAGTTACTAACTAAACCAAGCAAGAATTTGTTATGTACTGTAAAGTGAAATTACACTCCTCAATGTTCCATAATAAAACACATTTTTATATGACCAAAAATAACTTCACAGCAGGTTAACAATTGAAAAAAGAACACTTTCTCTTTAATATCTGTCCAAATAACTATGAACAGGTACCTCTCGCACATTGCTATGGTAGCTTAAATTGGGCTTACCCTGCTCACTGCAATAATAAACCCTTTTAACATTCTCATCAGTAAGCTAACAGTAGGTAAACGGTAAAATGTCATTCATAAGCAGAATGTTCTCTGCAAAGCTATTGGTGGGAAGTGTATCCAAGTAGGTTTCTGCTTCATTTTTTTGGAAATTCAGTGTGTTTTGGTTAAACCAGAAGAAGGAAGCTGCTACGTTAACGGTTAGAAGTCCTTGTTTGAGCATCACTCCCTAATGCAGCCGTTTTTCCTAATTTTGCTCACAGTTTAACATGAATAATGGAAGCATGATGGCTAGGGGTGTCCTGATACAAACTTTTCATTTCTGATACGATACAGATATTGTGGCTTTGAGAATTGGCCTATACCGATATATTGACCCGATATGATATAAGAAAAAGCTTGACGTTATTATTGCTGAAATAGGGAACAGAAGTTAACGACTAAAGGTATGAAAGCAACCGACGCATAATAAATTAATCAATGAGCCACAGAAAATTTTAACATAGAGTTTCTATTTGCGGGGTTTCTATTTGCATGAAAATATCTGAAATTGTAGATGCTGGCAGATAAAATCTGATATTGGTTTTTATTTGACCGTGATCCAATATCAATATCGGATCGGCACATCCCTAATATGGCTGACAGTATGTGTTCCTTCTTCTAAAGCATGTCTTCAGCCCTCATTCTCAGAGACTGCAGGATGTTCTATCCTACGACATGTGAACATTGGGCTTTGTGCTCTTATACAACATGCCATTTGCATCACTTTACAGTTGCACAATGGTTGAAGCCAAGTAAGAACCTCTTCTCTCACTGAAAGATGTTGAGTTCAGATCCAAAGGGCCTGGGGCCAAACTCATCACAGAGAGTGTTCTGGATAAGGTTATAAGAATAGCAGAGTCAGCAGCTTCACTGGTGTCTTTCTTGGGAGGTAATGTCACTCGGTTAGAAATTCACAAAATAGAAGATAACAGAATTTTGCTGTGTGTCATTTGGAAAAGCAGCCTTCGAAAGAGCTTCTTCCTTTTTTTCAGTCACCCTGGCAACAAGATTTAAGGTGTTAGCCTTGTGCCATCTGTGAGATCTCAGTGGTGACAAAATCTTCTGCAAAGCAACTGAATGCTTTCACAAAATTTAGCAGCGTTGTCTATCCCTGTGCAAAACCAAAAATGCATGCCTTGATGGCTGCAAATGTAATCCTATGAATGAACGATGACACCTGTTGGGAGATGAAGGAAACACGTCCTTTAATAAATGCAGTGAGCTCCACTTGGGTGGATGCACTAAGTGGATGCATTAAATCTCTCTTCGTTCATCAGTCAGTCGCAGAAATCTTGGATGCTTGAACTTAACATGTCGCTTCAAATTTCAAGTGAGTAAGGCAGATATAAGTTTGTTAAGACCCAGTGGGCACATTTTACAAAAAAAAAAATGGTTGTTTTTAAATGAATGCAAATATGAACTGTGCTTGTCATTCATTCATTCAAGCTGTGCTCTTGTTTATGTTCATCACTTGAAAATCCGTTCATTTCACCGTTCACATTATGATCGCATTCAGTAAGCAATGTTCATTGAACGTGTTCATGCACAACACTGAAAACATGGCTGTGGTAGTATTATGCTGTGGGAGTGCTTTTCAATAGCTGAGACAGAAAAGCAAGTCAAAACAGGGTAAGATGGACAGAGCTAAATATAGCGCATCTAAAAATCAACAACAAAAACTTAACATTGCAAAGAACTTGAGCTTGACATAGATTCACTATCCAACTGGATAAAGATCCTACTCATGCACTGAATAGATTTAATCAAAATATTCCATTCGTTGGAATGATCCGGTCAAAGTCCAGACTAAATATAGTTCAGAATCTGTTATAATACATTCAAGGTAACATTCTACATCCAGTTTGACTGAGATTAGCTCTTTTAAATAAGCATAGATGTCAATCTCTAAATGTGCAAAGCCGGTAGGGACAGGGTCTTTGAAAAGAGCTGCTGCTGTGAATGGAGATATTTTGTCCTTATCATTTAATTTGGAAATTAGGAAACACTCTTTGTTGGTCCAGTCGCACAAAATCCCAATACAATGCAAAGCAGTTTTACATCTTCAAGGAATATGCAACAAGTAAATGACTATGACTTTGTAAATCACGTTGTCATTCATACTATGTTGTGTTATTTGCAGATTGAAAGCATGAAGAAATACATTGACCGTCATACAGAGTATGTAGAGTCCGATGAGGTCTTGACCAAGAAGACTAAGGAGGTGGAGGAACTGAAGAAGAAAATGGTGAGGTCGTTTTCTGTTCTAAACCAATGGTTTTATTTGTGCGGAAACCTGAACACGAACATAGGGGTTCTAAGTACATACAATACAGAAGCATGCCCGTTTACCTTAAGCTGCCAAAAAGTAATGAAACTTATTTTTTTTTAACCTTTTACTTCTTTTGGAAATGTTGCATCTAGCATCTCTAGCAGTACACACACTAGAGTGCAGGGTGAAGTAAAACATTTACCAGTTTATTTATACTGTATCCTGTAACACCAACAAAAAAGCTCTAGGCCGGGCTTCTTTGTGTGCCTTTCTTTTTATCACAATTCCTCTTTTTCCTCCTCACCTCATGTTTAATTCATTCTCCATGTTATTTGATACTAACCACAGAGGACAGTGCAAGTATTAGCAGGAAGAGTCTGAAAGTCTCCTTGCTAACTTTATATGCTAAATATGTTAAGGGATACATGTTTTCATCTCAGGCTGGATGGGATATCAACTATAGAATGGATTAATAAATCTCATGTTTGTTTCCATACCAAATAAGGGCTGCTGCGCTTATCTCTAGCCTGTATTGCGTCTTGATATCTTTTAATTTAAAGGTTTGCATATCTAAAAACTGAAAATAAAAATAATAATAAGCAGTAGCTATTAGCATCTAAAGTGTGATTGATAACATATTGGCATAAAGAATATTGTTTTATACTGTTGGAAATCTGTTGGAGAAAATATATATTTTGTTTCTTTAAAGTCAGCCAATCAACAAAATAACAGCAAACAAGAGATAATAGCAGAACAAGCTGTTTAGCTTTAATACATTTTTTATTGAGTCACAGCCCTTCAACTCTGCTGTTCATCCAATTTCTTACAGTTTTGTCTCTATTTGAGACAAAATATACTAATCCAACTATGATCAGTTTCCCAATAAAGAATAATTTGCTTAACACAGAGTTCTTTGCTTTTTTAATTTACCTGTTTCATATCTTGTTTTTTTGGTCAGCGAAATGTAGGTAATCTATGAGATTTGTTGGAGATACATTAAACAATTTGTCTCACGGATGCCATATTTAATTTTCCTCCAATCTTTGAAACTCATTGTCATCAATTCTTTTTCAACTCTTGTTGTGTTGGCAGGAACCTGATAAACCAGCCATGCTGCTGACAGACAATATAGATCCGCACAAGGAGCACAATGATTTCGTACAGAGGGAAGAAAGGATCTTAAGGAGCCTTAGCAGTTGGCCCACTGCTGAAGAGCCATAAAAAAGCAGAATACCTGACACCAGCAACTTTACAGAAAAACTTCACAACAAAACTTGTTGATTTTCAGTTAGCTATGTTGTATGAAAATTGTACTGAAATTTAATGTTAATGTTTATGTCCAATAACATTTTTTTTCCACAAAGCATTACTCAGTCCTGAATTTTTTCAACCACCTGTAAAGAGGTAATAGGTTGTCATAGTTTGCCTCTTCTTTGCTGGGAGGCATCAGCGTTTTAGAGCGGAAATAACTCCCACCAAAGCCACTCCAGTCACCAGTGTATCTGTTGCTGGGGCTGTCCAGACGTCCCGGGTGTGGGTCGTAAGACACCTGCTTTCTCTGCTTTGCAATTACTTTTTCTTTTAGCTTGGCCTTTTCCATAATAAACAAGTTTATTGGCTTTAAATCATATTCTTGTTATGTATAATAGTTTGAGACTACCAAAAAAAGCCGATGAATATTCCCAGAAACCATGCTTCAACTTTGCATTTCCACTTTTATTTAAAAGGGAAGTCTTTCCTTAATTCCTTAAAACTGTATCTACTTTTGTGATGGTGGATATCGCTAAGAGATCATGCAGTATGATGCAGTGGGTCTTTCTTCTTTTCTCTGTTTCTATTAGTTTTGCTCCTACGATAGTACAAAAAGGAGAGCAGCAAACATTTAGTCCCAGATGGACAGCCGGTGTCCTGACAGAAAAGAAAATGCAAAGAAGAGAGGGGGGTTTGCAGGTCAAACACTGCATAATGTAGGGGCAGCTGTCTATTGGCAAGTTTTCACACTGTTTTCAAGATTGCTCAAAAGGAAGGGGAGAGCACAAGGGTTGACAGAATCAATGAACGCCACAAGCACAGACTCTGGGGAAGCGGGGGTAACAGAGAGGGAACAGCTCTGCAGAGAGCTGGCCTCTACTTCACTCTGGCCATGACTCATTCACGTGGACGGCCCTGTCACTGAGCGGTCTCAGAAAGGAGGAGGGCGAGGAATGGGCTGATGTGTGGGTGCACAGAGACAGGCGTCCATATGGCCCCTGAGGCACCAACGAGGTCCTGGTGACAAAAGGAGCCAGCGCTCTCCAGTTGTCTCCTCTTCAAACCTCTCTGGGAAATCTGTTTTCAGAGTGCCTCTCACTTTCTCTGTGGAGCAGCTCAGGAATGTTATGCCTGCAATCCTACACTCACCAACTAGTTATTGTTTTGATGGCTGATGCACAGAATCTCATGTAATACCCTGGGCCTTTTTAAAGCATAAACTCTAATACAAGAATGTTGAAGAGGGTCTTGGGCTGAACACCTTTTAATGTTTTGGACAATGGACAGCAGCACAGCATTAACCCAGTAACTGCCTCTGGCATAAGGGGGACATTCATGATGTGAGATTTTCCTCAGTTGACTTCTTCATCCAAGTCTAAGAGATTTCCCAAACATAAAAAGAGATCTGTAACTAAAGGGGCTGTCAATACAGAATGGATTGCCTGGGGTTCAATTTTTATCCTCGGCTCTTCAAAGTTTCCATGCAAAATCCTGGGAAACAATGAAAGCAGGTGCTGTGTAGGAGGAGCTGTAAATCTGGCTTGGCGAATTAAGCCATTGCCTTGGTATTGTTCTGGCTGGCCTCTTAGCAGCTCCTGCTGGGGTGGGTGTTAGGTGGGGTGTTTTCTACTTCCACAAATCTCTCAACATGGGGCACCCTGCCCATTTAACACATGGTCATCCAAGCTGGAGCCCAGCTGCAGAGAGAGGACAGAGAAAAGTGTCACACAAGACAATAACAAGAAAATCTGACTAATTTAAAATCAAAGAACTGCTTAATTATGTTTTTTTTTTTTATTTCAAACATCTACTTTCTATAAAAAGAAAACAAATATTTTAAGGGTTATTCATTTTAACATGTCTTAGTTACTACAAAATAATTTCATCAGGCTTTGATTCATTGCTGTAAAGCAGCAAGTTTTTTCTTGTTGGAGCCTCTGTGAGGTAGGTGGTAGGTTTCATTATTTGACCTTTGACCTCATAAGAGATCAGGTGGCCAAGACACTGCTGTGGAATGTTACCCCCTTGACTCCCTTTCATTTTCTAATTGAAAGTTTGGAGTTTTCTCTTAGGCAACATGTCAAAGAAGAGGTTACTTTATCGCCATTGTGCAGAATTCAACAAAATTTCCTTTTGCAGCATCACTTTTAGAATCATAGTTAGAAATATTGAAAGTATATCATTGCAATATTCATACAAAAATATTTTTGAAGACAATAGTGTGTGTTTGCTCCATCAGAGTGAGGACCATTTTCCAATTTAATCATGAAACCGAGGAGCTGTTTGCCAAGGGTTAGGTTTAGGGCTGAGGTGTGAACTAGTTTTATGGTTAGGGCATAGAAAGAGTGACAGATGACTGAAAATAAAGGGAAGTCAATAGTCTGCATATAGTCCTCGCTACCTATAATCAAATGGGCATGGGTGTGTGTTTCTATAAATGTGTGTTCCTATTTTTTTTTCATAGTCCTGGGAAAACGGTTTGTTTAGGTCTGTCGGTGACTCTGAGTCTGCCAGAGGGAATGATGAAGAAAATAGGGTCCTGAGTTGGTTGGGTCGTCTTAATTCCTCGTGGCTCAACAGACTAGACGGCTCCTGTAGACCTCCTCTAGGTGTTTAATTTGGAAGGCAATGATCCACCAAGCAGAAAAGCTGCAGTTGATTTCAGCTTTTCTTTTCTCATATGCAGTGCAACTGGCATACCACGCCACACCTCTGCACAGTCAGGATGTTTTCTATTGGTAAAGGTCTTTAAACAAAGGTGAAGGGAATTTGGTCCTTCACAAAGAAAAGACTTGCTTGGCCCTTTAGATAATATGGGTTTTGGTCACAGTCGACTACAATCTCTGAGCTGTGCAGTCCCAGAAAACTGAATTCTGTGTCCTGCTCTACTTTTTCACTGTTGATGCTCAGGCCTAAGTGTATTGTGGTCCTTAACTTCTAAATATAGGCAATGGTTTCGTTTGTCTTGTTCAAGAATGAAAGAATCAAGAGTTTTTTTTTTTTACTTTCATTATGTTAGAATGTATTTTGAAGACAGTGTGATCCAAAGAAAATATAAGACAAGGACATAAATAAAAAAATAAAAAACGAAACAATGAAGAACAAGGACATACGTACATGGAATGTTACATCTACTATTTAAAATGAACATAAAGTGCAGTTTATGCCCGGAAGTCTACAAAATGGGCTGGAAGTCCATCCATCCATTCTCTCCTGCTTAGTCCTATAAGGGTAGCGGTGGGGCCGGTGCCTATCTCTAACACTCTGTGTGAGAGGCAGGGTAGACTCTGCACAGGTCAAAAGTCTGTCACAGGGAGACACAGAACCATGCAAACACACTTATAGCTAAGGGCAATTTAGAGAAGCCAATTAACCTAAAAGTTGTGTTTTTGGGCTGTGGGAGGAAGCCGGAGTACCCAGGGAGAACCCACACATGCACAGGGAGAACATGCAATCTCCATGCAGAAAGACCCCAGGCCAAGAATAGAACCCAGAACCTTCTTTCTGCAAGGTAACAGTGAAACCCTCTGTACCACTGTGCAGCCCTATGGGAAATATTGCCCTATCTAGTAAATACTGGAACGAGATTGTTCAAGTAATTTATCTACAATGGCTTTTAAGGATTGCATATCTCATTTTAAAACACCTTTTTTGTGATGTAAACAGACTATTAGAAAGCCATTTAAACTGTTACTGTAATATAACATCTCTCCTGTGCAAAAGTTCTCTAGCTCTAGGAAACTACCTCTTTTGGTGACTCTACTGATGTTCTGCCAAACTTCATTCTGGACTCTGCTGTTCTTAGACATTAATCTCCTCCCTGTGAAGCAATCCTTTTGTTGATTTTTATATTAGCTTAAAATAACCCTGATGCCTAAAGAATAAAAAATTTTTTCACCTTCAACTTACTAGCAGACAGGTGAAGTTTTTCTGTCAACACTGATTGGTAACTATGAGCGTTAATGATTTTGCTTACCTAGGCAAAATGGTCATTGTTTCTGTCAGAAGAAGGATAAATACAGAGTACGTACTACCATATTTCCCATTAGGTGTTGTGTTCTATTAGGGATCTGCTGAATTTTGCCTAACCAGACTTTTTAGCCTAAAGTTTAAAGTTGGCTTTAATTAGACCTCAGCTCATTCTGTTACATGGCTGAGAGATTTTATTAAAGTAGCATGTTATGTGAAAGAGAAAGCTGTTATCTCTCAGTCCTACTTTTAGATGTATGTGAAACACAGATGATTTTCTTGTTAATACAACCTGTACTAAACAATAAATCCTGCAGCTCTTAAGTGTTAATGTCAGCAATAACACCAGCCTCATCTATAAAGAAAATCTAAAAGAAGAGCATGCCTAAAATAGCCCCTGGTAAAAGACTGTCCATGAACAACACAAGCCAAGTTTTCTTTGTCTTTACCAATAAGTCATTCATTTAAAATTTCATTAAAAAGTTATCAGCTCAAAGCAAGACGTTAGGGATAGAGAAAAACAACATCACTGTTTTTATGGTTTTTATCACAGAAAGCCTGCAGGAACATCTGCAAAGTGAACATTTATCTACGTATTTCTATCATTCTCCACCTATCTAGTTCACAACCAAATAGCAGAACGTTTTTAAGGACGTCCTTTCAATAATCACTTTTTAAAACTTTTTTTTACCAAATATATGAAAATAATCTTTTTTATTTACATATTTGGGTTGTTGTCGACGGGTCACAAGCCCTTTAAGTGTTTTTTTTTTTTTTTACTGCTTTTAGATGTTTTACTCTGAGATTAAATAAATCAAAGTGATTCCAATGCATTTATCTTATAAATACGTCTAGAGCTCATGGTCAGCATCAACAAAGTTTTCCCTATTGACAGCTGAAGAGTGCTCTGCTGAAAACAGGGAGGTGATCATTTAAATTAAAATATGATCTGTATCGTCCTACCTTCTCCACATATCTTTTTATTCTCTTTCTACTTAAATCAGCTTG